GCATTTGAGATTTGTCAAGTATTGTAACCCTAAGCAGTACTAATATTGAAAACTAGACTTGAGATTTATGTGATCCAGATGTGCATGCCAGTAAAGCCGAGATGAAATGGCAGGCTTGGGCATGGGAGGGGCTGAGTTGGGGGAGTGTGTATGGAAGGATCTGCATGGTATGTATAGCAAAGTAGAATTTTATGTATTAATATTTCCCCTTGAGGATAGTAACCAGATTATGAAGTGTAGCTTCAAGTAAGGACCAGCATTGGTTTTATTTGCAGCCAAAAATAACTAAGTTCAGGGGGAAAGAAAGACAATCTATTTTTAAATGTTTTTGAAAACTTTTAAATTGGTCAGGACCCTTCAACGGTGTGGTCTTGGGAATCATTAGTCACCCTCAGTCAGAGGTTTGACGCAGCCCTCCAACGCTGAATTTCTCCTGTCCGAAAGTGGCATTTCTAGTTGGTATCATTCAAGAGCCTGCCATAAGAAATAAGATTCCACCTCCAGGTCACCAGGGCAAGCCCTCCCACACTGGTGATACCTGGGAGCTGTTCCTAGAAGTTGGTGGGTAGATGAAGAAAGGTGCAAAGGTCTCTACTCTCTTCGGATACTAGCTAGGAGCCTTGCTTGGCAGAGTGGGCGCTGACTCTACTGTTATTAAAGAAGAACCATCACCTTCTGGAGCCAAGGCCTCTCCTCCCTCAGATGTCAAGGCTTTCCCAGCTGGCCAGATGAGAAGAATGCAAGTACTCTATCTAAATCGGGAGTTTGGAGTCCGAAGTTCAGGATGTGTGTGACATGAAAGGGAGGCACAGTGTATGATTATCCCGTAGCATGCAGTGCACAATCAGCCATGCTTAGCTATCCCAGGGAAACTGGTCATACCACTGCAAAAGCAGGTGAAAGGTGATCCCGAAAGGGAGGGATGGAGCTAGAGTCCACCTAAGTGGAAGTGACTTGGGGTAGACAGGGTGTTGATGGTGGCTGTGATTGTGGTTCCTAGCTTTTCATCTGTGACTGGTTGTAGGCAGGAAATCGAAGATCAGGTTGCTCTATCAGCCCCTTTTAGGGCAGAGTGAAAGGAAATGACACTGTGTGCAAGGGAAGCCTGTGGACTTTGTCCCCACAGCTGTCTCTGGAGGAAATCTGGTTTGCTGTGTGAAGTGTTGTATGTTGAGGTGAGGGGGAGATTTTAGTAGCTTTTCTTCATCTTTATTTACAGCCCCGAGTCCAAGAAGAGCTAGAGCAATGCTGGTAACTCAGACTCTCCTCTGTACAGCTTTAGCCTGTGGCTTACAGCCGCATCCTGAGTCAGGTCTTAAGTAAGAATGCTGTCTCGGACCCAAGCCAAATAGATTCCAAATGATGGAATCTGATTTTTCCTGTTGGCTTTTGAGTCAAGGGAGTTGGGGTGGTGTGTGATTGGGCCCCTATGGTCTACCGCACACAAAGCCAAGGTGCAATCAGGGAATGGGAATTTGGCAGGGCTTTGCCTAGAGCCCAGGTGAGTCATTACCACCTGGGAAGCATCCTGACCCTCTGTGAGCCTGGGAGGGGCCCAGGTAGGAGTCAGCAGTCAGGGCCGCCAGTCCAGTTCTGCATTGCCGTCATCACCTTCAGTAGGCTGGAATGACTGGCAACCTGTGCCTGAGGAGGTGAGCTGGCTGGAAGCAGAAAAGCAGAAAACGTTTCCAGGGTGAGAGCTCATTGTGGATTTCTAAGGCATGTTAGTGTTAGCATATTGCTGTGCTGAGCCAATTTTGTGTATCTCATTCTCATATCACATAGGGTCCTAGGACTGAAATGGATTCTCTAGTGCTGCGTCTGACTTTGAACCCTCTCTCCAACTAAAAATACAGTGAGAACTGCCTGACCAAAACAGTGATAATCATTCACACACCCCCTCCTTGTGTGGTGCTATGAGTCAAACTCAGAGCTTTTGTACGTTTTGTGTATGCTAGACAAGCCTCTACCACTGAGTCATATCCCCAGATTTTTTTTCTCTTAATGTTATCCAGCTGAGGTGCTTTTAAAAAAGAATATGTGTATAACCCATTGCAACCTACCACTTCATGTTGGGGTACATAAGGACTTACTAGAAAGAGTCAGGTAAGTGGGGTGCAGCATTATTAAGAAATGGCAAAGCAAGAGTCTGGGTGAGAGGCATGTAGGTATGAGGGAAGGAGGGTAGCCTAGTGGTTAGGAGTCCAGTGAAGGTGTCCAACAGTCTGAGTTTGAATCCTAGCTCTGTGGCTTACCAGCTGTGACCTTCATTCTGACTTTTCTCTTTTCTTACTGTAAGAAGGGATGATAGGACCACGTCATAAATCAGTCTGAGAACTGAGTGCATTTTGAACGAAGTACTTAGCAAGTGCAGGCTGTTAGCATAATTATCCCTTCTCCCATAGCAACTGACTTGAGTGATGCCCTTCATACCACTCAAAGTGTCAGACTGCCTTCCTCTTTTCTACATTGTTAGTCCAATACCAGTGCAGAAAAGCAGGTAACTTCTGAGGAAGTTTGACCTTGAAGCCAGACAAGTAGCCAGTTCTCTTCTGGAGGGCCCAGTGTCGGGAGGGGTCCTGTTTCTACCATTTCCTCTGACACTGTTTGTTGTTCAGATGTGAAAAGCATCAAGGGGCCCATCATTTGGATAGATGGAGGAGTGTGTGTGTGTGTATGTGTGTGTGTGTGTGAGAGAGAGAGAGAGGGGGGGGGGTCATCATGAGAGAGAGAGGGGGGGGGGTCATCATCTAGAGCAGGTACAGGCTTTCTATGTGATGGAGAGTCCAGCGGAGCCAGCACGCCCCCGTTTCTGTCTCCCTTGCTGTCTTATTCTCCAGAGCAGCAAGCTAGAGATAGCTGATTGTCTAGCAGAGATCCCAGGCCTTCTGATGACAGACTCAGCCCTGGGTAGCCTCACTTTTCTTTCCAAATTGCAGTAAAGGCATATTCTAAAATAAAACAATAAAAGTCGGCCCCTGGTGTTTCCTTGGCCAACTTCCATAGAATATCACAGTCATTAATGAAAGGAAAATAAGGGTCTAAGCCCTATGACAGAAGCCAGGCCAAGATTCTTCTCACCCTTGCCTGGGACCCAGGAATAGTAACAATAGTAAACATAGTAAAAGTAAAAAATCATAGAATGTTTACAAAGTAGCAGTACTATTTAAACACTATAGATGTGAGTTACTTAATCCCCTTTGCAATCTTTTGAAGGAAGTTCTGTTATTGGTCTTCTTTTGCAGATGAGGGAACTAGGGCAGAAGAGTAAAGCAACCTGTTAATGGTCACACAGCTCGGCTGAGATGGCCAGATTAGTTTAGAACCCAGACAGTCTGGAATTTAAGGCAGTATTCTTAACCACAGCCTTGCACTGCCTCTTAAGGTAGTTATAAATTATAAAAATAGCTATAAAAATAAGCCATACATATCTGTGATAAAATGGCATAGAACTATACATATACATCAATGTCATTGTTTTGCTAATATAATGAAGTAAACGAAGATGTAAATATCAGGGGGAAACTGGGCAAAGGCATACAGAACATTTTACACTTTTTAAAAACCAATTTTCTGTGACTATAGTTATTTAAAAATATGTCCAAACAGAAACACACTGCAGCAACAGTGTTTTGCAGGCTTATTGTGCTCCTTACATTCATTATGTATTCAGGTCTCCTGGCAACTGAATGGACCATGCGTGGATGCCACTGGCCCCTCCAGTTACGGATTTGAATCCTAGGCTCTGCACCGCAGTTAAGGTAGTTAGCATCAAGAAGCAGTGCGGCCAATGGGTAGAACCCACCTCCTTGTTTCCTTATAAATATCAAATGAGAGAAGACCTGAGATATGATGAGCCATCAATGCTGATTCCCTTATGAGTCTGTTCAGCAGCAGTTAAGCTTTATGGGGGGTGACATAGTTCTGAACTAGCTAGTCAGATCCTCTGCTGAAGTTTGTCTTATGGGATAGCAGGGATATGAGGACAGGTATAGTATGGTGCCCCACCAAGGAGCGTGCAATGGAGGGAAGATGGCCTCCATGTGGCAAGACATGTTATATGCAGTCACACACCAGTTAGCAGGTATAAAATCTGAGCAGTATGCCCTTCAGATTTCATTTGTGACATATGAACATCAAAGCATACTTGCCTAAACTAATATTCTGCATTGTCACCAGGAGATGGAATCTTACACACCATTATTGTATATGTGGTTCATGGTTGACCACAAGACTTTTCATGGCTCATGGCTGTGTTTAGAATCTTAACACAGAGGAAGTAATTGCCTGTCCCTGAGCTCCTTCCCCTGGAACTAGTCTAGATGCTTGGCCCCAAGCCAGGCACCTTGCTGGTATTCAAGGACACAGTCAAGGTTTGGGAGAAGGAACATTATCAATCACCATGTTGGATGGCATCTGCAATTATCATCTTCATTTCCATCAAAGGTATATTGTGACAAGGTATCGTCAAGTTCAATTTAGTCAGAATCAGGACACAGCAAGGACTTATTTTCTATTTCTGCCCTGGGCTGAACCTGTCTTGAATAATTCAGTGTTCATCTACTCTTCCAACACCATGCTTTATCCTCCGCCCCTATGGCTCTATTCAGGATCACATGATTGCTTGTTTCTCCCTATTCCACTCCATCAAAAGCCTTCCAATCTCCACCTCTGGTTGCCTGTAATGAGAGTTTTTAGGAAAGAGCAGATACTTCATGTGTGACTACCAGGCAGTGTCAGCTGCACACATTTAGAGACGGGCCTAAGGGCAAAGGCCACACACAGTGCAATATGGACAACTTTTGACATAATGCTCGTTTAACACCCTACTATTTAAAACTTGCAAAATTCTAGATCTGGTGACAGTTGGCTGAAGCTGAGTTCCCCAGTTTACTGCAGATGACCCTGTTCCTAAACTTCCCTTATTTTATATATGCCCAGCCCCCACAGCATGTAGTCGTTATTCCTGACAGAGACGAGGGAGGGCTGTGAGCCAAGGTGGGACAAGGCAGATGGCTCATGAACTTGCTGGGCCTTGTTGACCCAGAACCCCTGCTGCTTGCTCAGAGTGGATGCTCCAGAGCCCCCGTGAGCTTCTCTTAGGCCGGAATTATGGCTGGCTTTCTTGGTTGAGAGTCAGGAGTTCTCCGGGTGAGAATCTCAGTTCCGCACCTACACCACGGTTACATCAGAATTCCTGGGATAGTCGCTGGGCAGGGAGTGACAAAGTGTCATGTGAAGGCGTGGATATGAGGCTCTGTCTGTGGGGAAGGAGCCAGGTTGGAGGTATCTGGGCAATGTGGCCTCTTAGCTGGCTTACCAGGTAAGGAGCCAGAAGACCTATTCCAGTCTGGCTAGACCACTTATTAAATGAGAAATTGGTTTTTGAGTTTTCTCATCTCCAAAATGGAGATAGTTTATTCTGCTGTGGCTAAAAATGGGGTGCATAAGAGGGCTGACACATATATGAAAGTGTTTCCAGCTGTGAAGTTGTAGAGGGGAATCCGTTGCTATGACAGCAGCGCTATGCTGTGGAAGAACATCTCTGATGTTCAGTAGTGTGCTGGTCAGGCATCTAGAAGCTGGAAGCCCCTGGGCTACATCCTGCTTACTAAGAATGGCCTTCACATTTTGACGTAGTTGAAACACAATCAAAAGACAGCTCATGTCTCATGATATATAGAATTCAGGTAAAGTTCACTTTTAGCACCCACAAGTAGAGGTCCATGGGGCATGTCCATGCTCACTTGTTTCTATGTGTCTGTGGCTGCTTGTGCAAACTACAGCAGAGGTGGTTCCTTGTGACAAGGACCTTAAGGTACACAAAGTATAAAGCACTGTCTGACCCTTGAGAGAGAAACTCTGGGCAGATTACAGAGGGGACCAATGCCCATATGCCCTTCATTTCCTCCATCGTGTGTGTGTGTGTGTGTGCGCGCGCGCGCGCGCGCGTGTGTGCGTGTGTGTGTGTGCGCGCGCGCGCGCGCGCGTGTGTGCTGGCTTGAGGAATATTTCCAGATCCAATACAGGCAAATGTGCCCTTCGTGGCAAAGCCAGTAATTCTCCGTTTAACTCTCGTTGAACAGAGTTCTCATGCTTTGGGCTCTGGCTGGGGGCACTTCCTGAGGAAAACCACAATACTTTTTGTAAAAACCAATGTCCCTTTTAGCATTAACCACAAAAAGAGAAGAGGCTGTTCCTGTTACAGTGGGCATTTCTCCAGTGGATGAGCCACCCAGCGGGCTTGGACTCGGCGCCTCTCCCAGCTGGAAATGCATCGCTGCTACTGTGATCAGCCTGGAGTGGGGTCGGGGCTGGAGACTGTTGTTTCTGAACCCTGTGGACTTCAGAATGTGCCTCTATTTGGAGACAGGGTCTTTGGGGCTAGGGTTAGTTGGGCGAGACCAGGTGACACAGGTGTACTGTGAGCCCCTCACCCGACATGACTGGTGTTAAATAAGACTGAAGGCGAGCGAGATGCAGGTTCTTGCCATCACCAAGCCTGGCAAGCTGTGTTCTACTCCCAGAAATCATTCCACGTGGAAGGGGGGAACTGAGTCTGCACAGTTGTCCTCTGACCTCCACACACACATCATACACACACACACACACACACACACACACATACACACACACATGAACATACATGGACACACAGTAAAGTTCAAGGGAACATGAGGGAAATTTGAGGAAGAGGAGAGAGGCACACAGGGAAACATTGTGACAGGGCAGACAGACATGAAGGAGCCAGGGATGGATGGCTGTCCCCAGGACAGGGGAAGGCTTCCTGCTGCCATATCCCAAAGGAAACAGGGCCCTGCTGACACCTTGACTCAGGACAGCCTCTGGGATGTGAGAGGATAAATCTCTGTTGTTTAAAGTCCTCCATGAACCAGGTTAGACTCACGCCTCTAATCCTAGCACTGGGGAGGCTGAGGCAGGAAGATTGCAGGCTAACCTCGGCTAAAAGTATGAGACCCTGTCTCAAAACAACAAACGACCCACATTAAATTATTTGATTAGTTAAGACTTTAAAATAATACGAATCAAGCCTCCAGTTTCTGCTGCTTTATTACTGCAGCCTCTGGCAGCTCCTATAGCAGTTGCCCTCCCCGTCAGTGGAGTGCTTACGTGCCTTTCAAAACACTTGGCATTATCCATCCCTTGTTCTGCAAGTGGGACAATAGAGACGTAGCTGGTTCCAGCACCGGCACTGGGGATGGCTGATGGCAGAACAGGATTCTTTTGTGAGTTTCTACAGTGAATTGTCTAGGGGTCAGCATCCTTCCTCTAGCTGGTCCCAGCATCCTCTGCGAGGGGAGGGGGTAGATGTCACGGTGAGAGGGACTTCTGTCTCCAGTCTCTCACTCCGCAGCTCCATTCCAGATGAATACATCTTCCTTCCTTCCCTTCCTTCAATTCATTTTTTAAGTTACTATAATGGTTCACTATGATGTTTTCATAGATTCTGCTTTGTTCTTAGTCAGCCCCTTCCTCCCCTTGCTGTGCCTCCTCTTCCTAAATTGTCCCTCCTTAGTCCACTTTGTATGCATTTGACATATCAGCATACAACTTAAGATTAAAATGTGACTATATAAAGTACACGCATGTGAAGCATAGTTGTGCATGGGAAGTCTATAAGGCAGGAGGGGTTTGCCTCAGGTTTGCAGCCAACCTTGGCTACAGTGTGAGACTCCATCTCATACAGAAAAAAAATTAATGTAGATTTCACTTGTGAGGAAACATGATATTGTCTTTCTGAGTTCTTTGTTTAATATGATGGTTTCTAATTCCATCATTTTCCAGAGGACTATTTCTTCCTTGTAGTCATCTGAACTCATATACTTAGACTCTCAAATATGTAGGATCGAACCTGCTTTGCTAACTCAAAGAAACTAAAGGCGTGTTTTCTGTTTATCTCTATTCTATTCACAATAGAAACTGCAATGAGGGAACTGTCGTTTTCTCAGCCACTTGCCAATCCTAGGAGGATTGTACCTAAGACCCTTGGAGAGAGACTCCAAATGAAGCCCATGGTGGAAGGTGATCTCTAAGGGCCGTCCCCAGTGGTTTCCTGCATAGCCTGAGTCACTGATGATTTCCTTCTCAGGAGCACTTGTACAAGCTCTTACACGGCCAACATGGAATTGGCAGAGAGCACAGAGCCGTGCTCCTCCCTCCCAGGCTCCTCTTCCAGACTCCCCGCTCCTCCACTGGTTGGAGGTAGACTCTTACCATTGAGAGTCTAGGGCTGGTTTTCAGATTGTCTCTCTCTGTATCACAGGTATTTTCAAACATTCAGACAGAGCTGTCTGGAATACTCCAGCATGGCCACCACTCATACGCCCCAGCTGTCAGGAGCTTGTCTCACATTACCTGTCACTTTGCTGTTGTAGCTGAGCTGTTTGGAAATGTGTCCCCTCTTTCATGTCGCTTTCTTCATACTGTGTGTGTATACTATGTATCTTTTTAAATCCTTGAAAGGTACCAGGATGGAGGTGCAGCTAAGAGAATCACCAAGACCAAGTGTCATTAGCACACCTAAGAACATTGTGATTCTTTGAGGTCACTCCACCCAGCTGTGTTCAGGACTCAAGGTTAGGGTCTGCTGGAGCCCACTGGAGTTCCTAGTAGCTTTACCCAGCAGGACTGCACAAGAGGATGATTGGACCACAGGCCCGAGTACCAGGTGTTTGCAAGGGTCTGCACTTGGCAGTATCTAGCAAGGCGGAGGTCTTTTGCCCCTCCCCTTGGCATTGTTATAAAAAGCCCTTTTGAATGACGTTCTGGGCTGGTGGATAAGGATCCAGGCCCACCCGAGGCTATCCTGTGTTTCTATCTGTTTCTCTCCCCTCTATTTCTATCTAAGTCTCTTATCGCTCACTCCTTAAGAGTCCGTGGAATAAATAAATGTGGGAGCTGATCTCCCACAAGGGTTTTTAAACTACTTGGATAGAAATGTAAAATAGGGGTCAGGTAATAATTACACTAGCATGGGAGAGTGCTTGGGGGAGGTTCCAGAAAGAGCAGCTAAGGAAGCTGTCTCCGGTCAGGGGCTTTCAGAAAGTCAACAAGACTGAGCCCCAGTGGGGTGTTCCGGCTACTTGCATTGCCCACCTCTGACATGGTGAGTCAGATTTCTCTGGGGAATTAACCCAGGATCTCATGAGCTAGAAACCCAGCTTCAGCCAGGGGGGACATTGCATCTATGACACATGGTTGCCATTGTCTGTTGGTCAGCCTAGCTGCTGTCAATACAATTGTGTCTGTGCCCTCAGAGGTGTTAACCATCTAATGACCCCTGCCTCTTCTTGCCGCCTCCCACAGCCCCTGCCCTCCTTCCACTCACCAAAATAGAGACAAGGGCTTTGGGGGAGCTTGTTTTTAGTGGGCTTACTCAAAGGAGGCTTTATGTTTATTTTCCGAGTGGCCCTCTGAATGTTGCGTCCATTTATCATGCCTGGCCACCAGCCCTCCCCCGTCTCTCCACCCTGAAACCTAAACTTGATCAAACTGTTCCTAACCACTACCACATGTCCTTGCAGGGTTCAGGGACGGAGGTGGGGGCTGGGAGTGGAGGCATCCCCCCCGGGAGCACAGTAGCATATTAAAATTCAATGGCTTAGTCATCAGAGTGTTCAGCCCCAGCACCAAAGAAAAATAAATGAATGTTCTGTAACAGACTTGTGGGTCTCAGAGGAAGGAGGATAGTGGGAGGGAGGGGGGAGAGTGCTTGTGGATTTTAGATAGAGGAGTCCAGGGCTGTGGAGAACAATTAGGGCCTTTGCTCAGGAATAACAAGACACACCACTGTTTTCCTGCAGGCTGACCGAGTACACAGCAGCGGAGCTGGAGGGACTCGGTCTCATCCACCAGCTCAGCTCACAGAAGAGGAAACTAAGGCCGGGAAGGGTGGGGCTGCTCTACAACCCCATAAGGAAGGAGTGAGTGGTAGAAATGGGACCAGATCACTCCTTGTGTTTGCTAGCAGGCCCGCTGAGGGTGTCTGGTGGGAGGGACCTTGTGAGACATCTCTGAGAACATCCATGTATGGGCTGAGAAAGAACTTCCCTGGTATCGCCCCGAGGTTGACAGACTCACAGTGCTGAGGGGACCTGCTTTAGCACCTCCTCCCAGTTCCCTTTCTCTGCCCTGATGATTGGATTCTGGGCGGGCCTCCCCACTCATCGCCTCCCTCAGGACAGTGAAGAGCCCAACCAGGATGCATGGGAACCGTTGCTCATGGCTCCTTTGCTAAGGACAATTAAAGACCTGCTTCTAAGAGTGTTTGGGTTGTTGTTTTCCTCCTTTTCCTGCATCTTCCTTGGCAGGAATAGACCAGACGTCCTTCCTTCTGACCAACAGAGTCATAAGAAAATAAGGTACCTTGGTAAGTCCTGAGTTGGTTGTGGAAGAACTGGCTTTGTATACACATCTTCCCATTCCTCACCTTCTAGACGGAATTAAATTCTCTTTTGATGGCCAAGGACTTTGAATACGGGCATGAACAATCTTTAGGCCAGAAGCAGTTTCAGATGAAAAGGAAGCCAAGCCCTCTGCCCAGGATAAGGAAGCAGACCACGGTGGGGTGGGGTGTGGCTGGGCTGCGGGCAGTATTGCCCCAGCTGCAGGAATGTCGCATCCACCCTGGACCTGCTGCTTCGCACAGTGCTCTAGAAGTGGCTGGTCCGGAACAAAGAGGGCTTTTGTAGTTGACCAGTGTTTTGTTTTTGAGTTTCTCTGTAGGTTTCTTGGGTCAGATTAAGGAGAAAAGTCTGAAAAAAGTAGAGAGAGTGACCAACCAATTCAGCTAAATGCTGACAGCAATAAGTTTAAGGTCAGATTTTTCTGAGTTTGAAAAGTCTCCCCAGAGCATCTGGGAAAATTCCTATGGATGTGGGCCATAAGTTTAGCATCCCAAGGCATCGGCTTACTCCTACATGCTTTGCTTTGGAACAAAAATGCTGACTGTACCCAACGCCATAGCCTCTCTTCTTATCCGGAGCACAGAAGGAACCGTGAGCCCACATCATCTTACTTGATACGCTCCTTAATCGTGGGGGCTGGGCAAATTGCAACTCTCTTCTGAGAGGAAAGGTCTAAGACTGAGAAAACTAGAGAGAGCTAGACCCCTGGTAGACTCTCAGCCTGAGCCCTGTGCTCTTACTTCCACATCCAGGTTCCCCTCCAAGCTGCTTCTAGAAGATCGGGTGTGGGAGATCTCCTGATGGCCCCAGGACTCCCCCACCCTTTTCTCTTCCTGGAGAATCCTGGTGAGGCCAGTGTCACCTCCCTTAGAGAAGGTATGGGGGCCCTGCTCTGGAAGACTGGTTAGAGCCAAGCCAGTTAGGTGCCAGACCCAGGAGGAGGTCGGCATGGAGCACTGTCCTCAGCCTCCCAGCAGAGATGCAGATGAGGGGGCCAGAGGATGGACTGGATGCTGCAAATGGCAGCTGCCTCTTGCTCTGTGGGCCATAAGAAAAGGACTCTAGGAGGCAGGTCTAGCTCGCCCACCTTTGTCTTCTTAATGTGTCCAGACCTGAGCTGTGTTCCCAGAAGGTATTTCTCAGACTGTGAGGCCATAAGCAGAGACATGTCCGTCCTGTGGCAAGCTGGGGACTCTTAACACACTCCTGTACTTGCCCAGCTCACCAGCCCCCTCGCCAGCCCCCTCCTCCCACTCAGAGAAACTTTGACTAAGGGTAGCAGGTGACAGGAAAAGCAAAGCCTGATCAGGTGAGTTGTTTGTCAGTGTGGAGGGAGGAGACACTGCCATTGGAGATGTGCTAACTCAGACCTGAGGACCAGCAGAAGAGTATACAGTAGCCCCTTTCATTCATAGAGGACACTTCCTAAGACCTCCGATGGCTGCCTCAGAATGCCGTGGATAGCGCCGACCCCTTGTATGTGCTGTGCTTTCCTAGACACCCACACACAAATGCAAAGCCTTTTCCACTTAAGGAAGCACCTATGTATGCACTGTCACTTTAAGTTTTACAGTTTGGGTGTGACAGCAAAACCACACCAATCTCTCTTTCCTTCTTCACGAATTCTCAGGTTGTGTTTTTCTGAAAGACCTCAGCAGCCTCAGCACGATTGTTTTCTTTCCTTGCTGAGAACTTCCGCTTTCCCCCTTCAAGCCAGTTACTGTTTTCTTCTGACATAGACTAATCGCCAGCATCACTAACCCGTACTCCAGACCATTGCTAGGTAAAATTGGGGTTCTTTGAGCACAGCAATGCCAGACAGACTGATCACTGAGACTGCAGTGACGGAAGGGCAGGTGGTGTACGTAGTGTGGACCAACTGCACAGAGGGGTGGTTCCCATCCGAGGGAAGAGGTGTGCGCTTTTTATCAGTTACTTAGAACAGTGTACAGTTGGAAACTTAGGGATTGTTTCCAGAAATTTCCATTTAATATTTTCAGACTACAGCTGACTAAGATCTCCAGCTTGTGATCCTCTTTCCTATGTCTCCCAGGTGCCAGGATTATAGGCATACACTACCATTCCAAGCTATCCTGTTTTCTTTTATTGCAATAAAAAACAACTTTAGTGGTTGGCAGAGTGCTCACCTTGCATATGCAAAGCCCTGGCTTCATCCCTAGCGCCACATGAAATTAGGTGTTGTGGTACACACCTGTAATCCGATTACTCATGGGGTAGAAACAGGTAGATCAGAAGTTCAAGTTCACTCTCAACTACATAGTGAGTTTGAGGCCAACCTGGGCTGTATGAGACACTGCCTTCCCCAAATTAATTAAAGTTAAAATCAATTTTATTTTATTCACTGAGCCTTTCTTATGAATTTATAGCCAGAACCCAGTTCAGGGATCTGAACAATGAGTCTGGCTCTTAAATGAACAGTAACACAAACATGGGCCCCCACATGTGAGCCTAGTCACCCAACGGCTCCCCGTGTTCCCTCTGCCCACCACAGACATGATCCTTAACCCACAAGGCCGAAAAAGTCATGCAACCAGAGTTACCCTCATAGTATTCTGATGCTACAACTGTCTCCAGAGTCATTTAGCACTCAGGCCTCTGACTGTGAGTGACCTCAGTTCTAAATAAATCAGAGCCCATAGCTCTGGGCCTAGGGTGCCTCCTGTGTGGCCTGGCTAGTCCTTTCTTTGCTCTCTGGCATGGTCTGTTGGCTCTCCTCAGTCCAATTTTCGGGGCTATAGAGGATGTAATGAAAGTGGCAATAACTGGACATAGAGGACAGGGTGCCATCCTTGGGACAGCTGGCCTTTAGCAGATGAAAGCCACCAGCAAGAGATGGCAGCAAGTAGCCAGTGCTGACCTTGCCAGCCCTGGTGGAGGCCCTTGAGAAAACAGGATCGCTTTATTGTCACCATTAATAATAGCCCTTTATTTGAGCCCTGCTGGGACAATGCTCCAAACAAAGCTGAGAGGAAGAAACAGTCCCTGCTGTGGGGCCATGTCATTTATCAAGGCTAATGGAGGAAGAAAAATCCACCCAGAAAAGATGGTGGGGGTGGGCTGGGAGTGGATTTAATTGTTGCTAGAGGTGTAATTGGACGATACCCACAGCTTCTCTATGCATCCCTGTTAGCTTTGTTGTAGGAGGACCCTCCTTTGTCTTGTCTGTCCGCTGGCTCTGAGCTCCTGAAGGGTTCTGGTCTGCCAGTCAGATGGAGAAGTAAATCTTGAATCCAGCAGGGGTTGTGACCTTGGACAGGTTACTTCACTTGTAAGCTTTTACATCTTCAGTGGAGGTGCCCAGATTGGAGATCTTGGGAGTAAAACACAGACAAGAGTGTTGTTAAAAGAGAACTTGCTGGAATTGTCTTTATATCCCTTAGAGAACCAGAATGCTGCTCCTAACCAATGGATGTTTCTAACCCATGTTCCATGTACCAAGATGTGCCAGCCTTGAGCCTGCTGCATCTCTGGATAGCACCTACTTCTCTCTCATAGAATGGATGTAGTGGTCCCTGATTTCACCCTTCTGCACATGAGGATGTGAGGTGGTGGGGACCAGGGGAATGCTGGCCTTTGGGGGGCACTGAAAGGGCTCTGTGAAAACCATCAGCCTGCCCTGCCAAGCTGGAAGTTGTTCTGCACTCCCACACGCTGGCAGCCAGGATCTGCAGCTGTGCCACACAAGCCTTGTTTAATTTGAGGGGTGGGACAGACAGCACTGTGTGGTGCTTGTTGAAAGCCAGAAGAATGTAGCTTATTCACCAAATCATGAAAATGGCTGTGCCTTTGACAGGGGGAAGCCAAGGGAGGATGCGTAGTAGCATTTCCAAAGAGTGAAAATGCTGATAATTATAAATTTATCATAATACCCATTATGCATAGTGTCTAAGTGGATTAACTCATTACAGCTGAGCAAGCATCAGGTTTTCTGGAGGTCTCTTCCTTCCTTTGCTTGTAATTCATGTCCTCTCTATTAATCTATAAGACAGAAGTCCAATTATCGTCCTTCTTAATAGTTTTCATTATCACCCTGCTGGATCTGCAGAAATAAAAATGAAGTCAGAGTCAGGCGTAGTGCTACAAGCCAGGAAGGAGATAGAGGCAAGAAAATCAGATGGTCAAGGTTATCTTCAGGTACACAGTGAATTCAAGGCTAGCCCAGGCTACATAAGACTTTGTACCAAACAAATAAAGTACATGTTTTATATAATGCAACTAGTGTAAATCCAAAAATTTTGGTGGAGATGGAGATTTTTATGATCTAAACTTTCCAAATCAGAGAGGAATACAGGTACTTACTGGAAACCCAAGTAAAGAACGTTATAAACAGAGGCATTTATACAGCTCTATCTTCCATGCAAACCTTGATCTTGGCCCATACTGTTGATAGGTTATACTGAAAGTTGATACATGAATCATTCCAGAAAATTTTCTACTTTTGTAGTAACTTATACACTTTAAAAATCTTGCAGGTTTCTCCACCTACCTGAGTGATAAAAACAGAATATGAAAGTGTTTTTGCAAAGTCTTGTTTAGATACAAAGACATGTCAACCCACACAGGGTAGGAAAGCGTGTTTGGAGGAAGGGGAAGATGAGAGGGACTTGAAGTAGAAACTGGATCTCAGACAGCCACCTCAGTTCTATCCTCACCTTCCATAGCCCTGGGTAGGACACTTGGTGTCTGTGGGTTCCCATTTTTACATTTCCAAAATGGCATCTTGGATAGGATGCTTGAGGCGAATCCACACAATAAGTGAATCCTTCCAAGGAGGTGGTCCTGGGCCAAGTGTCCATTTAAGCACAACTGTTACTCCCTTATCAGTACAGATTGATCCCT